CCACAAAAATAACCACAGAGCATCATTTATAAAAAAATATGTGGCGATATGCAACCCATCAATAAAAGCTACTAGAATATAAAATTATATTGTGATATAAGGATGAATGCTCTAATAAATGAATTTTAATCAAATAAAAGGCAGATATTGAGCACAGTGTATTTAATAAATCTTAGCAGATTTAGCCATACGGCTCACACTACCTCTACGGGGAAAATTTACTCATCCTAGATACCTATATATATATATATATATATATATATATATATAATATATATATATATATATATATATATATATATATGAGGAGTTGTCACATGCTGACAACTCCGACCTTTTATCCCTTAGGTCTTCTTCTAACAACATCTTGTTGAATTTCACCAAACGCCCTAGGCAACCCTTATCGGAGTTAGATAAGATTTACAGGGAGACGGTATCGTTTTTAAAAACCCACCCTAATTTTCTCGTTCTTACGAGCGACAAAGGTAATGCTACTGTCCTAATGGATAGAGATCAATATGTCAGCTTGAGCAAATCACTGTTAGATGATGATAGATACTATCAACCACTTTCCAATAATCCTTGTTCGAAATTCACTAATAGAATTAACAAATTTATAACACACTTAAAAAATATCAAGATCATAGATCAACCGTTAGCTAAATATTTACATAATTATGATGGATATGCTCCACGATTCTACTGTTTACCCAAAATACATAAGCCTACACTGAGCATGAGACCTATTGTATCATCAATTAACTCACCTAATATTAATATTTCTAAATTTCTAACGGATATCTTATCCAAATCATATAATTACAGCAATGATTATAATATTGTTGATTCTTTTCATTTTAGTGAATTTATAAATAATTTTAAACTACCACAAGGTTACATTTTAGTAAGCTTTGATGTGGTCTCTCTTTTCACTAACTTACCTTTGTCCAGTGTTATCACCTCCTTAAAAAATCATTGGAACTCTATTAAACCTAATTGCCGTGTTCCTTGGGATATTTTTGCAGAACTTTTGAAACTAGTCTTTGACACTAACTTCTTAGTTTTTGAGGACAAATTTTACCTCCAAATATTTGGCACACCTATGGGTTCCTCAATCTCACCCATCCTAGTTAACTATGTACTAGATGATTTGGTTTCTGACCGTTTAGGTCGCTTAGAATTTCCAATCCCTTTTATTAAGCGGTATGTGGATGATTTATTATTAGCCCTACCACCTGACAAGGTTCAGGGTACCTTATCCTTCTTCAATGAATTTGATCCTCACTTACAGTTCACTGTTGAACTTGAGGACACTGTCACAAATAGTATCCCCTTTTTAGACATGCGTGTCATCAGAATGGGAGATAACACCCTGACCACAAGTTGGTATAGAAAACCAATGGCCTCCAATAGGTTCCTTAATTACCATTCCTGTCACCCTATGAAATATAAATTGAACCTTATTAAAGCACTTAGTTGCAGATTACATAAATTGACACATCCGATTAATCGAAGGGAATCCCTTAAGTTATTGAGAAATATTCTAATTGAAAATTCATATCCTTCCTCCATCATAAATAAATACCTATATTCTCAAAGTTATGGATCCTCTTTTGATGATATACCCAATGGTGACCAACTTAGAACCATTTCTAATAATTCAGTCAATAGCATTGTTCTGCCTAATACTGATCTTGAGAATCCTACCACCCATTATTCATCTCTGCCTTATTTCCCTCAAGTTACGGAGAAGCTTACTAAACTGTATAAACATAACAACATACCAGTTAAAATTGCAGTTAAGAATGCTAAGACTGTTAGAAATTTGTTTTCTAAAACTAAAACATGCTTGTCCACTTTGGAACAAGTTAATACTATATACTATTTACCCTGTGCTGAGTGTGACGCTTGTTATATTGGTCAAACTGGAAGATCACTAAAAGGACGTCTTACTTCCCATCGAAGTGACATTAATCTTTCTAAGCACACATGTGCGTTAGCGCAACACGCAATTAACACCAAACATAAGGTGAATTTCAATGAAGTTAAAATTCTTGGCACTGAGCGCAATCTTGGTAAAAGACAGTTCTTAGAAATGTGTTCCATTCTCAAACATCCTAATGCTTTAAATAAGAGAACAGACATAAGTAACTTGAGTCAAATATATCATGCTTTAATTTTGCAGAATTAGGCTTTACAATCAGTTCGTTATGTATGTGTCTCTAAAGTCGTACAATTCAACACATTTTCTTTATTAAATAAATTTAACTTACTATAATTAATACTTAATAAAAATATATTATTACATAAATGCTAATTAACTTAGACTTACTTATGCAACTCACATTGCATACTTGGTCGTTTTTCATATATTGATTAATTTGACCCTCTGGTTTTTTACTTTAATATAAATAAATACAATTCAACCTTTGAATACTTTACAAATTAAAGTTCCAAGCGTGGGACCTTGGACTTTTTGGAAATTAGGTGCTTATCGTCAATCACCTGTAGATGTATAACCAACTACACTGTTGACGTTTATCACTCTTTTAAATATGGAGTTGAATGAATTTGCCTACTTGTTTGTTCTAGACTAGTTGATGCAGGGATTAGCGTTATCGCTAATTTCTTTCATTGTTTGGTCTCTTACGGGAGGGTTATCATTTAAACTCATGTTAACTTTTTCAAATTTACCGCCCGTAAATTAGTGGGTTGGTACTATTAACCTTGCTGTTCTGTCGAATAATTTTCGACCTCAAGGCTGGCTGTCTGTTTCATGTCATTGACTCGGTACCTTTTAATTTAACGCCATTTCAACTGCAACAGGTGCCAAGCAAACAGTGGTAACTTAACTTTATATCTTTTTTATACATATTTTTTATATCTTAATGTAGTTAACTTAAATAATGCTACCAAAAGTTAAGATGAAGTTAAAATAAAATTTTTTGCTTAGTTGGAAGTGAATCAATGATTTTCTTAGTTCTTTTTCACTAGTTAATATTATATTAAATATTATATGCTTATTAGACCACGTGTTCTGTTGCTTTGCTAATTTTTACTAAGTCTCTAAATGTTGTTAGTTATTTAATTGTTTATACAATATCACCATACGATGTCCATTTATTTGAGTTTTTGTACTACCTTTTTAATACCATTGACAACTACATATCTTTTTTAAGGTAACTATTTAACATCTTCTTCATGAATGTGTGGTACTCATAATGTAAAAATTTTTAGATGAACTGATGATGCTATCAGAATTCGATAGCGAAACGTCTTCGAAATAGATGAAGTAGTATCAACTTTGTCTTTTATTTCTCCACCTAGTTGACCGATTGAACCTACCACTCATCTATATATATATATATATATATATATATAATATATATATATATATATATATATATATATATATATATATATGTTGCTCTGTTGCCTCTCGCATTTCGACCGCCAACGTTCTCTGTTCATCCATTTGTCTTCTTTGATGGCTCTATCTCTCATTAGGTGTCGTACATTTTCTTTCCAGATAACTAAAGGACTTTTCTTTCTCCTTCTTTGTTGTGGTATGTAATATAAAGCTTTCTTTGGCCATATATCTTCATTCATTCGCTTCATGTGACCATACCACACTAGTTGTCTCGTTTCAATTCTGTCTACACTGGAATATACAGTATTTGTCCTCCTAATATCTATATTCCTGGTATGATCTTTTTTGGACACACCACACGCTCTCCTTAGAATATACATTTCCACTACTTCTATTCTTTTTCTATCTTTTTTCGTGATCTGCCAAACTTCTGCCCTATAAGTCCCTATAAACCCCTTTTATGTCTTACACATACGCTATCAAGAAAACCAACGATGACATATGCTTCACATGCGGCGAAAGGGACGACGCTGAGCATTGCATCTTCTGGTGTAATGTTTTTGGTCCCGAACAAAATAGACTGCGTAACAAAATAGGGTTGACAACTCCCAACAACATTATACAGATAGCTATGATCAACAAGGAAAACTTCGAAATCATATTAGACCACATAACGGAGATCATGAAAAGAAAGACCTTACTTAAAAGGGTTAAACAAGCCAGGTAAGGGAGGTTTCTCCGCACCACACAAGGCGATAGCTATAAATAACTTTATCTTTATCTCACTCTTTGACAGCGAAACTACAGCGTAAAACTAATCTGCTCTAATCTTGTTCCGGTAAGAACCAGCTTCCATATAGACAGGCAACCAGAGACACTAAGGGTGTAAACTTTTCTCTATGTTTTTCTTTCCTCTTTCTATTCTTCTTCATTCTATAATAACATCAGTCTTCCGAACCACTTTCCCCTTTCCCTTCCGAAAAGGAACCAAAACCTCTCCTTGGTGCATGCCATTATTATGTATGCAGCGTATGACAAACCCTAGGATCTTCTACAAGAACATTCTTCCAGACTGCGCAGGATATTCCCATGTTTCGTTCTCTAATGAGCTCGTCCGGGGATATTCAGCGTCGAAGAGGGTATGGTTTTTAGTTGGTAGGCGAACTGACAGGGACGCATGATGGGCCCCGGATTCCGTGTGAACTCTGTGCCATTCTCGTGTGGTCCTGCCTTCTGGTTTAATCAAACAGTACTAGGACACCTTCCCTAGTTGGTTTTGAACCTTTTCACCACATTCAAAAAGTTAATTCTATTATGAAGAAATAATAAACAATAAATAAGGTATCTAGATATCTATAAAATAAAAAGAATAATTCGCAAAATAACCAATGAAAGATATTGTTACAATTAAACACAAAACAATATAGTACTTGATATGAGAAATTTAAGTATCAATTAACTAACTATCCTTTTTATCAATTGTCATTATATTTTGCCCCATTTCCATGTATTTGGCTTGGGATTCACCTTGATTACCCTAAATTACGGTTCCATATTGGTGTTACCGTCTTTTTATTACAACTCTGAGAGCACGTTAGATGCGATCAGTCAAGATCATTGCTCGGTAATTATGGAAACTCCCACCATGTTAGCTGACATGGTGATGTATCAAAAATTTAAAAAACTTCCAATTCACATCGAAGAAGGCCGTTGTGGAGGAACACCTGGATCAGAAAAGCTATTTAAAGATGTAGTCGAGATTCTAGATGTGGGGAGATTATGTGATGGATACGGTGCCACTGAGGCGTTGGCGTTTAATGGTAGCTTAGAAATGAAGAGATTGATTTTATCTCCAGGTGCGTTGGCATCTTATGGACCATTTAGAAGCTAAGGTCGTCGATTCAGAGGGAAAGATAGTGCTTTTAGGAACGGTTGGAGAACTCTACGTCCTATAGGAGAAATATTAAACAATAAATAGGGTATCTAGATATCTATACGATAAAAAGAATAATTCGCAAAATAACTAATAAAAGATATTGTTACAATTTAAACACAAAACAATATAGTACTTGATACGAGAAATTTAAGTATCAATTAACCAACTATCCTTTTTATTAAATGTCATTATATTGTGATATACTCTTTATAAAAGTGAAATAATTGTACAATTATTTAAAAAAAAACTCGATTATTATATTAAACAGTTTTGTTGTTATCAAACAAAAAGCAAAATATTTTTTCAAAATACAACACAAATAAAACCGTCAACTCCTTTCACCGAAGACGAATTTAGAACCGTACGGACGAACAATATTTTTCTCCACATGACATGACGTAAAAAATATTTCCTAAATCTTATTGTAGGTTATAAAAGAACGAAAATATTACAAAGGGTTTTATGTTTTCACTGTGAAAAATAACAAATAGCTATAACGCGCAAACATTTGTATTAGTGTAATATAAAGTATTTCTGTAAGAGGTCAATTCCAAATACATTTATTGCTTTCTATGAGGCTTGTTAAATTAAAACCCATCTTTGGCAAACCAAAATTATTAGCAAATATATCTATAAATAATTACCACTATAATTACATATTTCATTGTTTTACCAACCGATAACCATGCTTAAATAGTTCTTGTAACTATTGCTCGAAGAATTCTTTTACAGAATTTTGTACGTCTTTATTCGACTTAAAACTTTTTCAGTGGCCTAAAGATGTGAAAATCACAAGGCGAAACATTGTAATATACAGATTGAACGAAATAAATTCGGAACATACGAAATATTATGTATTTCGGCTCAATTCTGCTGTAGGTGGTTGACCAACAAAAGGTTGTCAAATAATTATATTATAAAAATCCAATACTTCAGCGGGCTGCTGGATTCTGAAATCATAAAAATTGAAAGCTACACATAAATCTACGATTTTATTATGCTGTCAAACCACTTATAGTCCAGGAAATGAAGCATTTCACCTCGCAATTTTTTCGTCCTGCGTGGATTGACTTGAAATTTTAACAGAAGGTAGGTAATAGCCAAGGATCAAAATCTATATCGAACCAAAGTGCGCCAAAGCCTTGGGGGTGGTTGCCACCCCATCTCGGGGTGAAATTTTTTTTTTACGTTTTAACTACAGGTTTCGATTAAAAAAGTGATTCTAAACAAAAAATGTTCTATACATTTTTTTTGTAAACTGATATTTTTCAAGTTATTCGCGATTGAAAGTAACAACTTTTAGACGAAAAAATCGACGTTTTTAATCGATTTTTCGCGAATAACTCGAAAATGGTGCATTTTATCAAAAAAATTGTAGAGAACAAATTTGTAGCTTTTAAAAAGACAAATACAATTCATTTTTAAAATGTTTTTGCGATATAACAGGAACCGAAATACGGCCTATCAATGTTCAGCGGTTTTCTTCAAATGCCAAATTTGAAAGATTCAAAGTCAAATATCGGGAAAATGATGCATTTTTGGAAGAAAACTCACACAACCTTTTTTAAAGAGCATAAATAGACCTATCATAAAAAAAGACTCTAGCTCAAAAATTGAGTGAGTTATGATGAAAATAAGGTCAATACCTCATTTTTTTACGAAAAAATCGATGAAAACAACCCCCTAACCACCCCATAATTAAAATCGATCTTCACCCTTCTGCAATTCTCTTTGTACATGTATTGTTAATACGTCCAAGAAGTTTGACCCATTTAAAATGCTTAGTTTTAGAAAAAGTACAGCATAAAGCGAGAAACGATTAACAATTTCATATTTTTTACCCTTCTTTTTTTAAATATCCCCGAAAATACTGAATATATGAAAAAAATAAAAATGTACTAAATTGTAGCTTTTTTAATGACTAAAATTTTCCTTTATTTAGATTTGTTGTACAATGAATATTTGGCGAGATATAGCCGTTTAAAGCATCGATTTACGATCAAGCACCATCTTTTTCGAGCCCTTTAAACTCACTCCATTTAAAAACCAAGGGTTCCAAAAAGATTTAATTCACAGATCCTTGTAGCTCTTAAAAACCTCTACAAAATCGTTTTTGAAGAAACACTCTATCGTTAAAAATGAAGGAAATACGTTAAAAAAACCAATTAATTTTTTTCCGGAAAATTCCATTAGTATAGTACAGTACATTTCGGAGCATAATAATCTACAAAACCGGTATATTAGGTAGTGGGGCGTTATACATTCGAAATTTTAAGCGTTCTTATTTTGAAATCCCATACAACAGAATAAAACATCTGCTCATATGTCTATGGCTTGGCAATGAAAATATCAGAGCAACAGATTGGGGATGGTATTCCAAAGATGGTTTGTTATTACCCGCACGCATGAACAAACAACCTGCACCCGATGAACTTTTGAAAATTATTTTTTGCCAATGCAAAAAAGGATGCGGCGTTTCATGTGGGTGCAGAAAATTTGGTTTATACTGTAACTCTACTTATTCTGGGTGCTCAGATGAAGGGTGCAATAATAGTCCACCAATAATTGAAGAAGATGAGGATGACATAGATCACGATGAAAATGTAATTGATGACGAATAAAATTAATATTATAATTGTTTTAACTATAAATGTAAATATTTTTAACAATGTATGTAAATGTATAAGAATATATGGAGCCTTTTTATGTTGATAATTTTTTTTGTATTTAATTCTACTTTTTTCAATTTATATCTATTAAATTAGTTTATAAAAACTGCAATGTTGTAAAGGGTGATTTTCAAAAGTTGAAAAGTTGCAAAATTTTGGCAAAAAATTGTTTTCACCTATAGCACTCATAACAATTGATTTTTAAGGGTTGAAAATGTATGAAATTGTACTTTTAAAGTATAAAAAAATCAGTATTTAACTAATCCAAACAAAATTTCACTCATCTTAAAATTTGTAATACTATTTTACAATTTTTGAAAATTAGGCGTAGTTTTCACCACTAATTCCAAATTTTTATGCAAATCGTTCCAAGGCGAAATCATTTTCTTCGCATTACTACTTTTTTTTACATTAATCTCTAACAAGGGTCGCTTTTTAAGGGATGAAATATGATGAAACTTTATTCAAAAGCACGAAACTATCATTATTTAATTAATTCAAACCAAATTTTACCCATATTCAGGTTTATTGTTATTTTATAATTTTTGACAATTAGGGGTAGTTTTCACCCCTAAGAACAATCAGGGTTCATCGACATGACATAAACTATAAAGCAGTGGGTGAATTGAGCTTAATCCAAATTTTTATCCAAATCGATCCAAGGCGAAATCATTTTTTTAGAATTAGTAATTACTTTACATTATTCTCTAACAAGGGTTGCTTTTTAAGGGTTGAAATATGATGGAACTCTATTCAAAAGTATAAAATAATCATTATTTAACTAATTCAAACCAAATCTTACCCATATTCAGGTTTAATATGTTATTTTATAATTTTTGACAATTAGGGGTAGTTTTTCACCCCTAAAACCCTTCAGCGCACTTCGGTTCGATATAGATTTTGATCCTTGGGCTATCACCTACCTTCTGTTAAAATTTCAACTCAATCCATGCAGGACGAAAAAATTGCGAAGTTTTAACTTTTTTCGAGCTTCATTTCCTGAACTATTATCGCTTCCTTTACGCAAACAACATTGTTGCGAGACAGATAGTTGAACGATATTTTATACAATGTCTATACCCAGGTATGGATTTATTTTTGTCCAAGTTTTATATTGGTCCACTATTTCAAATGCAGTTCAAACAGACATATATTAAATTGTATGATCCGTTTTAAATTCGTTCAATCTGTATAAGAAACTACATATAACTATATAAGAAACTCGATTATCGAAGTAAACAATTGTTGCACAACTTCTGTTGTGATTGAAGTATTTATTTAAAAGTAAATTAAAAAATCCAACAGTTAACAATTAAATTATCATAGTACATATTTTGACTATCGTACTACAAATTTTATAGGTCTAAACAATTATATTTCTTTAGTTGACTGAAATACTATTTTTAATGATTCTGATCTGATACAAATTTTAGAAAAAACACTGAAATATGGCATATATACTTATCAAATCTTTATAGACTACAAGACAGTCTACGACTCTGTAAATTAAAGAGAAATGGTCAGAGTAATGAAAGACCTAGGAGTACCAAATCAGTTCATACGTTTAACAAAACCAATCCTTGAAAAGGTTGGTTACGAAGCCAGTGAGACCCTCTCTCCTGTATACTGTTCAATTGAACTCTAAAAAGAGTATTATGTATATCACAAATCACAACCACCATTTCAATATAATATGTATATCAAATCAGTGCAAATCTTTACCTATGCTGATAATATTAAAACAATTGGGAGAACGAAAAATGCTGTACGAGAGGCGTATGTAACACTAAAAAAAGCTACAAAAATGGGCTTAATAATAAACACCAACAAAATGAAATACATGAAAATATACACGCAATCACAAATCCTACGGCCACTTGTTATAAAAAACAACGGCATTCAAGCTGTAATGAATTTGTACACCTGGCAGTACTCGTCAATACTGAAAATATCACTATCGCAGATATAAACTGCAGAATTTGCACGGCCAACAGGTGCTATTTTGGGCTTAACCTCCTATTTATATCCCCAATTATATCAAAAAAATACAAAGGTAAAACTCTACAATACAAATAATATGCCCAGTCCTAACATACGGTTCAGAGACCTTGATTTTAACAAAAAGTAATGAAAGCATTTTTCGAAAGAATGGGACAAGTCGAATATATGGAATGACAATGGAGTATAAGGAAGAAAATACAACTTCAAACTTTATAGAATATTGTAACGATTTTATTATCTTTATTTACAGTCTTTTAATTTATTATTAAAATGTTCTAACACTCA